AAGTAAAATTTGTTCCAAGATCACGAATATAGTCAACGTTAGATAAAATAACATTATTGAATGTATAGTTAAAGTTATATATATTTTGACACCCCTATTAAGCTGGACTCCCCACCATCGCAAATCGAGTTCGCACTAAAGCAAAAATTTAGTGCTCATCCAGCTTAATAGGGGTTATATTTTGCGAGCCATTGAAAATACGCTATTGGAAATGACAAAAGTCCCGAGCGCAAGTATTAAGTGATTCGAGGTCGTCGGGCGGTAAAGGATGAGACTGAATAGAGACGAGAATGATTTTGCCGGTATTTTCTCTGACGCCTGCAAATTTGCCTTTTTTACATACACTCGCACACGCACAATGCGCGCGTACACACGGCGCCATCACTTCGGTGGCCGATAAAATGCGCGCTGGGACGCAGACCGCGGCGGAAACGGGCTTTTAATGTTTATTTTGAATCACATTTGCCGCGCTCATCGGCTGAAATGAGCGTTTGAGTGATGATTTATAATCCGCGTCTCTACGCGCGGACGAAATCACTGGCTCGTTTTCATCGTTCGCGCATTTTTTCAAGCCGCGAGGCATGACGTCGGGGGGTTGGGGCGGCCGTGTCGTTTTAATAATAAAAAGAGGGACTGCGGCATTCGGTCGTTTTCGAGGCTTTCCAGAAAAAAAATACTCGCAAGCGTTTAATCGCATTTCCGTCGTGATTTTGCGTTTCCTGCGCGTAAATTAGTGTCTAAAAGCGCGCGCGCGTACGAGAAAGAGAGGAGGGAGGTGAGATTGCGATGCTTGGGACATCAGCCACGTATCCGTTCGAAAGCAAAGTTCCACAATGTGTTGCAGTTGAGCAGCGTATTCCGTATCTATGGATTTGCCGACATCCGTCGACTTACCGGTAACTACGAACTAAACTACGAACTCTGAGACGTCACGTATTAACCAATCGGATCGGTCGACGGCGTCGTCAACGCTGCCGTGCACATACAATACAATGCGAGTAATTTTGAGGTTCGAGTTCAGACGCGGTCACGTACACACAGGAATTACGTGAGACAAACTACGCCGTTCTGTGCGTGATCGCGCGCCACCGGATGTGCTCTCGCGCGTTGACGTTTATACGGGCGACACACCGTCCCGGCGAGGTGTTGCGTTAGCTACGGAGACGAAATGGAGAATTCCGAATCAATATCTTTCGAATTCCAACGAGCAACGTCGGGCCAGGTGTATCGGGGCTACAGATGGAGATCGCGAGACGAATCTTTACGCGTGCGAAAGACCGTGTAGTTACACCGACTTTCAACTCTGACTAAAGTGGCCTCGCGATAACACCATTTAATATCGCACACGCGACGAAGATGTGCGCGAACTAATTTTACGGAACGTCATTTCATTGCTAACGATATTACCGTAACATTGGTAACATCATTTTAAATTGTCTCCCGGAAAGGCAATTTTCTTCATGCGATATTTCCCTGTTACACATTCTTTCTCTCTTTCTCACCCTCGCATTCGCTCACCCTCTCTCTTTCGAACTCCATCTCTCGCTTTCTCCCGGCTACAAAGCGCACCGGCAATTTTCCGGTAAAAACCTGCACTGGGAGGTTCTATATATGCGGCATGTGTCCTGTATACGGAACGCGTCTGCCTGTTTTCGAACACACACCACGTGCGTGTCGATACACGTTGTCCCAGACACGTCCTCTTGCCGGAGTTAAGCCACGTGTGGGGGGTCTACCGCGAAACTACAAAGTTATTGGCGATATATGCGAAAGTTCGTTTAACCCCTTCGTCCCATCGATGAATATGCAAGAGCGGCGCCGAAACGAGCCGACGATGTTTCAATGCTCGTCGTCGCTCCGAGCGACGTGAAATTCGCTTCGACGATGCATCTCCGATTTAGGACGAGGTGGATCGATGTTCGCGGAGGACTTTTGAGTATGAACCGATTCGCTCAACTTGGGAACGTGATATACGTGGAATACACGCTATTTCGCCGGGTGATTCTGTGCATTACATCAGCGCCGGTAAAAAGGATCCTTCGCGAACACATGCTCCGCTTGATTTTGTCGATTAGCCATTAGCTATATAGTACGATTACATAGGCTACGTAATTAACATCGAGTCGATTAAGATAATAGTACCAATAACATTTAACGACGTAGGGCCAAGATTATATCCTTTTTAAAAGAATATACGATATTTAATGATCTAATTATAGAATTTATTAATTATCTAATTGTAGAATTAATCAATAAAGCTGATGTATACAGATTTATTATTAATATAAGTCGAATTAGATCAAACGGACGAATATAGATCAATGCAGCTCTCAGATCGTTGAACAACGACAATGAAAGTTTAGAGAAGTTAAGTCAAGAAGACGATTTCACTGTTGAGAAACAAAGTCGCATTGCCGTATACAGGATCTTCCAGTTGACACGGAAAGTAACGAGACGAAATTTCCGCCTGGGACACAAGTCGGTTAACCCCAGGATCAAAGGGCCAAGACGTTAAGTATCTTCTAAGTACTATTTCTGCTTTGGAGATAGCTCGACCTCGTTTCTTCGCGGAAAAAATGCCCGTCGCGTGGCGGACACGTACCGCTTCCTCCTCGGTCCCCAAAGACAAGACGCAACGGCTCTCTCAAATAACGACGGGTCCTTTCGAGAATTTTCACTGCGTAAAACATTTCTCTCGCCTTCATCGATATTCCATTTGCGGCCTCGACAGTCACGTATATGCACACACACATGGGTACACATAACACACACATACACATATATACATGAAGTGTGCGGTATTGTAGTATCGTTGGTATAACAGCTATATTTGGAGGCGAATCTACAGAGAAGCAACTCGTCCAATTTTCCTATAATCCTGGGCAAGTTCTTCCTCTGGGATAACCCGGCCTGGTAATCCCTCCGATTTCGAAAAGTTTATCTGCCTAGGATCTCGCCAAGTTTCAGATATTTCGAGTATTTGGATCCTGGAAATTTTTCGGAACTCGCGAATCTTTAAACTGTACAGTCTTATGAAGTTTGACGCTTTGGGATACGCGGAAAATGTGAGTTGTTTGCATCAGTGGAAATGTCGGAATTACAGACAACTCGGAAATTTCACATTTTGGACTACATAGTTGTTAAATCATTGAAAATTTGGAACGAGCGCTATGTTCGGCTCTTGAATATCCGTGGTGTTTCTGAGATTCGAGTTAGAGAAATTTCGAAATGTTTGATCTTAATTTCCTAATGTAGGTAAGATCCCGGAAATTTGTATGCTTGAGAGACTGCCGGAACTCCGGAAATTCAGAGAACGTCGAGATAATTTGACTTTCTAGAAGCCTTCAAATTATAGCAATGTGGGGAACTTGAAATTATTAGACTTTAAGTTACTGGGTATCGATATTTGGACCTCGAATTACTCGACAGGTATATCATTGAATTTTCTCTCATTTTTTCCTTTTATATAAATTATAAAAGATTCAAGCTTTTCACAAAATATGAAATTTTCGCAACGTTTAATCTGAAATATTTCAAAGTACAAAGACTATAGAATTCTCCATCAGCGGAATTTATCGTTTCAAAACTCGTATATCTCAATAACAATTAAGCGTAATAATTAAAGTAAATATGCGCTAATTTCCGTGCATTGTGATTATTTCATCAGTTTCCACCATTTCAGTTTTCCATAATCGAATTATTGATATTTCCTTGATGTAGTAAACACCTCAGGAATGCAGAACGCATTCATTCAGCAGTAACAGATTATCAATAAAAACGCAGTTCCACTAAACAAACGCGCTATTGATCGCGAGCACCGAGAATTTATGTTCACGCTTATGAATATTCCATATATATTTCTTTTTCGGAATATTTACTGGCAGGGTTTTTTCAGGGCGTTACTAATAGGTATGACAAGCTTATGTGTGTGTTTGTTGGAGCAAAATATTTTGCAGATTCTGATATTGGGCCAGAAAGTAATACCCGAAACGGCCACAAGCGGCAGATACAATATTTTGCATTCATAAATTTTATGTCACGATCCTTTATTATATCCCTTTCTCTGTTCTTCAGTTACAAACTATGCGTGTAACACTGTTTACTGCGATTCATGATTTATCGTGTTGATTTTAAATTAGAGTTTGATACACACACACACACACACATACGCACGCACGTACGCACACACAAAAAAGAGTTATGTACTCGCCTTGATATATTTTTCACAAGCTGAAATTGTGCGCAACGAGATTCGCTGACGAGAACCGCCATTTACCCCTTTAATTCTTTGCTACCTTTCCATGCATACCCTGTAACCAATTGCTGTTTTGTTTTTGAGAAATTAACTCATCTCTCATACAAGATCACGGCTGATTCCGTTTATTTCCTGGCGGCACATGGCCGCATGAATGAATACGAATTTCGGCCGTGGCCCAGCTTAGATCGGAAATTCAGGAATGGCCGAAAAACTCCGGCGGACGCGTCCGAAAAATGTTTTCGCTCTAATCTGCCTGCCAGGCTCCGTTACTTTTCCTCCACTCTGCGCATAAGCGCCATTACGCGGCTCTTCTTCAATTTCTCCCTGCTCTTCCCGTTACTCCCAGAGCGCGGGCTTTCTCCGCGGTTCGTTCATGAATATGGAAAATTAGACTTTTCGACGCTCGGTACTCCCCTTTTTTCCACCGCAAATTGATTCCGCACAAGTGGTGCGTGCAGAGTGCTGCGGTTAATTCGAAGAAAAAAGGACAGATTTCCAGGATACTTGTGGGTGGAAATTAAAATTCGCTTTTAGAGCATGGTAGGAACAAGCGTCACGGCGTAGGGGAAAGTCTGACGGTGCTGCGTGTGGCGAATAAAAGTTACCATTTCCCACCGTCCATGCGATCATCGCATACGCCGTTGGGAGAATTTAAACTTTTAAATTCTCTTAGGTATCTTTACCTCTCTCTCTCTTGACATTTTATCGATTAGGTCGACTGAATATCACATAATTCACTTACCCGGTCTTCACGAAGTTCGCAAAGTACTGCATGATACTCTCCGAAAGTGCCATTTCCAATCTCGTGTAGTTTTTCGGAAAATGACCAAATCCCTCCACCCATAAGGGCGCCCCGAAAACGAATGGAAGTTCCTCTCCGTGCACGGAGCCCATCTTCTGCAAACAAAATAAACAAACAGTTGTACAACATTCTCGCCTTTATTTATGTCGTAATTTATGCACAATAATAAACGAGGAACAACGCATGTGATGAAAGAAATGTGATTTAATACACGACACGCAATAAAGAACGAATTTCGTCGAAATTTCATAAAGTAAAGATACATGGAAGAGTTTGATATTAATTGGACAGAAGACGCGAAACATACAATGTTGAAGTTATTAATCGTGACAGGTTACGTGGCCGATAAATAAAACGGAGGCGTTTTTCACTGACATGCCTTAATTGTACGAAGCGCAGACTATAAATCAGAAATGCATCGCTTAATACCGCCCGGGATTTAGAAATGGCCAGCGTTGGCGTGAGCTTATCCGCAAGCTCGATCATTGCGGACACGTCAGGCGCGATTCAATTTCTCCGGTGTCTTCGCCAGAAAATTACGAAGTTTTAGCTAAAACGCGTTTAAAATAACTCCCGCTTCAAGGCGGATAAGACGGTGGTACGTAGGTGGACACGCGAGTTTGCGTCCGCGAAGACCTCTTTATTATTAAGATGCCACTCTCGTAGAACTTGTAAGTCACGGAATCAGAAGTATCGGAATAACGTGGGGTTGATTCGGCTAAGCGGGTTGTTATTGTTGTCGTCCTCAAAATCTGAAATTACGGAACGTCTTCCAGGTGTCGTATACTCACGGATCTCGGAGCCTATGAATTTGGAGATAGCGGACTCCGGAATCGATCTGAGATGCAAGCTCGTAGTACCGAGGAAGCTATCTGTTCCAGCAAGCAGTGGGATGGAATCGGCGATTCCAAGGCGATTACGTACGTACACGTTCGTGCCGAATGGCGCACGAAAGGGCATTTGCCAAGCGGACGAGCTTAGGTCGGAATCGGTATTTCGCTACTATCGGTAGTGGGTTAAGACACTGTCTGTTCTATCAATGGTGCAGAGACTTCAGACGAGAGAGGGAGAGGAGAAATAAGGAGGATAACAAAGGGTGAAAGGAAGATGATAGAGAAGACAGAGTGAATGACTACATACATATACATACATTAAGAAAAATTAGAATTAATTTTGTTGCCAACTATAACCTTTTATAGTTTTAACCACAAAAATGGTGGTAACAACATACATGTAAGATTGTTTTCACTAATACTAATATAGTAACTATAATAACTTACTAGAAAATTGCTTTTTGACTATAATTCTTTTATTATGATGACAATAGTTATAAACACCAAATATTTTTTTCTCAGTATATAACGGTGAGATTATGATTGATAAAGGATTTTCTTCGAGAAAAGACTGATGGTGAGCTTTAGACGTCATTCAATTTAAGGACCAGTTATGTATATACGACGACCAAAACGACCATCAGTTTTCCACATCTATTCCTCTTTCTTGGTCCATAATAATCATCCATCATCAAAAAGAAAAGATGTTAGAGGGTAAGGAAGAGAGAGAGAGAGAGAGAGAGTGTGCACGAGGGAGAGTAGGAAATAAGGAGAGACAGAGAAATAGGGAAATAGAGAGATAGAGAATATGAGAGGGAGAAGAGCTGAAACATGAAACGTAGAAACCCAAGTCCAAAATGCCGGTGTTGAGTATTCGTCACTGTCGGACCGAATCGTAGCTTTATCGAAGTTGTTTCGCCAACTGGATTCCGTCATTGTCGAGAGCGCTGGCTAACCGGCAATATACGACTGCCACTGATACCATTAATTTCATTAAGGTCGACCCAGTATGCCCTGGGAACTGGAGCGATTCGCTCGCGGGTGATCGATGTGCCGCGATGGAGGACGGGCGTTCGATCGTTTCGGAGATCAGCTTGATCTTTGAGATAAGTCCGGATTCTTCCTTCATCATGGAACAGTGAGGGTTGACATGATAAGGTTAGCGAAAAAGGAGAGATCGCTCGGAAGAAAATACATGAAGATAGAGAACCGGTCAAACGTATACAAACTGTCTTCTAGATTGTGTTAATAGGAGCTTTGAACGAGGCTTTTGTAAATTGCAAACTTGGAAAATTGATTTGACTTAAAAAGTACTCGTTTACAATTCAACGAATACAACATGCGACTCGATTTGTTTTTGTAAAATCAGAAAATTGGGATCAGAAATTATATGGATAATTATATTATCTTGTTTAAATATACAATAAAAAAATTGTGTGTTAGATTTAATATATTTCACATGTCTAAACGATCCACACAAATTTTATGCCAATTTAACACAAGGTGAATATATTGAAAAATGATACAAATATGGCAAAAATGAACACAAAATAACATCCATAATATATTAATCGACATTGAAATATAAAATGTGTTATTTTAACAGATATATTTAAGCTAGATTTATCGATTTAGTTTCGCATTAATTGGTTATCGTATATGCTAAACATGAAGACATTATCACCACAAACATCTTGCCATACAGAGATTACCACTTATTGATCGCGGAAACGTTTGAGATCGAGTCATCATTATGGCGGAATGTCTAACCATCGGATGATGATGAGTTAATCGCCTTGATTTCCGGGCGAGCTCGAGAAATAAATGACGGCTGAACGGTGCGATCTTCTTCGAGAATGAATTTTCAGCGATTTGTCCGACCCTTTCTCACGGCGTGACGTAATAAATCGACGCCGATGACCTGCCGGGCTCTCGCGAAAAGCCCGAAAATTGGCGCGAGCGTGAAATTAAAACGAAAAAGGCAAGAAGCGGAGGGAAAGAGAATAGAGCGCACGTTCACGTCGCTTTCAACCCTTTTTGGCACAGGTCTACGCGGCCGTCCCGTAACTTTTAGTTTTTATTCAGCAGTTCTTTTTTCGCTCCAATTTCACTCCCCTTTTCGGCCTCAAGTCCGTCCGTTGCATGCGCGCATTCGGTCGCGGCCATAAAGTTGACTTCCGGGCGTGTCTGGCATCGACATCGCAGTCGCGAACGCGGTGGCCGAGCAATCTCGCGTCTCAACACTGCGAATAGAAGACAAGGTACATGCGTACACCATGGAAAAGCAATGTCGCTGACGAAGAAATCCGTTCTGACGGTTTGTTAATTGTTTCGTTCACCGATTCGACCTTCACTTACACTGTTACACTTTTGACGTCGTGGTGCGAAACGTCGATTCAAAAGCGACGCTCTCGATGAAAAGTAGTTGATGGATCCGCGATTCGCCATTTGTTAGATTCCAAGACGTCGGAATAACATGATTTAATATTTACGTTCGCTTCGTCGGTCGCGTCGTTTTGGCATTCGAATGTAGAAAGGATCGAACGCCGTTGCCGTTTTAACGTTTCGCACGACTTGAGACACGTATAACCCGAGGACGGCTTCGTTGATAGGAATAATACCGCTATAAACTTAGCGCAGGCATCGGCATCGTAACAGCCAGCATACTTTTTTATGGTTTGCGCGTACGTATCTCAGGTGCGCTGAGCGTTATCGTTCTTTACTGCCGTTGCATAGAGCTCCCATCTGGCTTCAACACTTCCGCTCGTGGCGAATAAGCGAGTTCACCTGCACCAAGATCACCTCTGACTTGTCCATTGTTCTCCGCGGGGAAACTTCCAACGGCCACAGCGACTCACCGGATAATCCGCAAGTGTCGGGAAACGCGTGTAAAAAGCGCATGTAAAGGCCGGCCAGACGACGAGTCGGCGAAAACGCCACCGAGTGGGGCAGAATTAACTGGAAGCGACTTTAAAATTGGATCGTACATTTCAGAAAACTTTATTCATAAAACGTCAGAAACGCGCTCGTTTCTCTCTCTTTCGTGTACGCGCGTGTTTTTTGCGTCCTTCGTGTAAAAAAAGAATTTTGGAACAGTAGAAGAGAAGGTGGTACAGTTCCCCATTTATATTTCGCAGAATAATTTTATTAATAGTGAATATTTTAAATTGAATAACGATTATATCCATCAATTGTGTTGTTCAATCGATTCTATATTCAAAGTTATGAAATATATATTACTTAGGATGTTATTGTATATTTATAAAAATATATGTATGTTTATAAAAATGTGGCAACACGGCACTAATGAATCGGAGTGAAACAGAGATAATGTAGCTCCCCTAAAATAGATTTAAAAAATTGGTTTGCCTAAAAAATATAATGTTTGTTACAAATTTATATATTTATTAAAAATGCATTTTTAGACGGAGCCACAATGAATATAACCGAATTTTTAATGTAGATATTAATTTACTTGTCAGAAGGTAAATACAAACTGTCAGAAAGACAGTTCAATAAAATGAATAAACTTTTAAGGATGTATTGCCCATAAATGAAAATAATGAAAAAAATATTTAAAAAATTGATCTAAATTGCATTTAAAAGTGACATCAAAAGTTTGACAGTAAATTAGAGCCTGGATTAAAAGTTATTCTACTGTAAAAGAGGTTGTAAGATGAAATTTGATGAGATTGAAAGTTTGATAAGAATTCGATGAAACTTGCATTGCGTATATATATATTGAAATATCATCTAACTCATTGCCCGCGCAATTGGAAAAAGATTGACTATTCGAGAACTGAAATATTTGTAACTAAAGTTCACATTTCTTATTCGTGTTCTTTGAGAGATTAGTATGCTATTTTTAATTTCTATTTTTAGTATCTTCTAAATTAAAAATAAGATTTGAATAAAAAACACTTCTATTAAAGACTAATATGCAAGCATTATATACAAATTTCAAAATTATTGATCATTTTCTTTTAAAAATATAGCAGTGTAAAATTCATAACTTATAGTAATACACGAAATATATATATATGTGCACATATTTAAACACTTATATGTACTTTCTTCTACTATCTGTACATCTTTATTATATTAACTGAACAAAACACTCAAATATACATATATTCATGTGATAATACGTTCAAATTTTAAAATAATGAGGAATAATGAAAATATATCTTGAAAATATTTCGAAATGAAAATAAAAATACGTTATGACAAACGCCGGCTATTACTTATTGACATATTAGCGT